AGTGAATGATGATGAGCTACAAGAGATTTACACTAAGATGCAAGAAGGAAAGAGTCCGGGTTTTAGAGTTGATAATAGAGGCTTTTATGGTTTTATCGGAGGTTGTGTGCCAAAGAATCGAAAACTAAAAGAACAGATTTTGATAGAGGCTCATAATATGGCTTATTCTGTGCATTCCGGTTATGTTCAAATGTATAAGGATCTTCATAAGAATTATTAGTGGACAAGAATAAAGAAAGATATCATGGAGTTTGTTTTACGGTGCTTGAAATATCAGCAAGTAAAGTATGAGCACCAAATTCCAGCACGAATGTTGTAAGAGTTTTCACTATCGAGTGAAAGTAGGAAAGAGTGACAATGGACTTTGTAATGGGTTTACCTCGAACCCAAGAAGGGTATGATTCAATTTGGATGATTATGGATAGATTAACTAAGTTCACTCATTTCCTACTTGTAAAGACTACTTATGGGTATGCTCAATATGCCTAGTTATTTATTGATCGGATAGTGTCCTTATACGATATTCGATCTTCATCAATTTCGGATTGAGGTACTTAGTTTACATCTCGATTCTAGAAGAAATTACAAGAGGCACTTAGTATGAAATTAGACTTTAGTATGACATTTCATCCTTAAATAGATGGTTAGTCAAAAAGGACAATTCGGACCTTAGAGGATATGTTTAGGGCATATATCATAGATTTAGGAGATAGTTGGGATCATCAATTGTCATCGATTAAGTTCTCGTATAATAATAGCTATCACTCTAGTATTAGTATGACGTCGTATGAAGCATTGTATAGTTGAAAGTGTAGATTGTCAATATATTAGACGAAGCTAGAGAAAAACAGACCTTTTAAGGTTAGAATTGATTTGACTCACTACCGAAAAGGTAAAGTTGATTCAAGAATGCCTTATGACTACGCATAGTAGACGGAAGAGTTATGCGGATCCTAAGAAAAGACATATAGAATTTTAAATTGGTGATTTTGTGTTTCTTAGAGTTTCTCGAATAAAAGGAGCAATACGATTTTGCAAGAAAGGAAAAGCCGAGTTCGAGATACATTGGATCGTTTGAGATTATGGGTTGAATTAGAGACGTGGCTTATGAGTTGGCATTGTCGTTATAATTCTCAAGTATACTTCCAGTGTTCCATATTTTCATATTAAGAAAATATGTATCTAACCTATCTCATATTTTGTAACTACAATTAGTGGAGTTAAATCTTGAATTGTTTTATGAGGAGCAACCGATCACGGTAATAGATTGTTAGATTAAGAAATTATGAAATAAAGAGATTATGTCCATCAAGATCATTTAGAGAAATCATTTCTACCGAATAAGCCAATTAGGAGGTCGATGAGAAAATGAAAAGGAATTATCCTTATTTGTTTGTATACTAAGGTGCGGGTAGAATCAAAATTTGAGGATGAATTTTCTTAAGAGGTGAGAATGTAATAACCTAAAAAAAAAGAGAGGGGTGGTATAAAAAGGGCAACAACTCGCTTCATTTCCAAAAATTTCTTCTCATTTCTCTCCCTCTCTCATGCAATTTTTCTTTAAAAATTCTTTCAAATTCTCACTTCAATTCCTAAGCAAATCCATTGTTTAATTAGCTTAGGAAAACCATAAGTAAGAGGATTCAAGTGAAGATTAGCTAGATTGGAGCTTGGGAAGTTTGGCAAACTAGGAAGAGCTTGGGAGTTGAAGGATAAAGTTTGAAGGTGAGATTTTTGATCGGTTGATCTTTAAATTAGAATGTTTATAAGTAATTGGTGATGAAAATGAAGTTGAATTGCATTAGGTGTTATTTGAATGAGGAATTGACCAGATTAAAGTTAGGGTTCTTGAGACCCATTTAGGGAAAGATGATTCTAAGTCGTTATAGTTACTTGAAACATTATCCGATTATCTTGGATAAGTGAATTAAGAAGTTAATTTCAAGTAGAATTGAGTGAATTTGAGAAATTGAGATGTTAAAGATGATGAATAGTGAAAAATCTAAAATTTTGGTTTTAATTGGAAAGAATTTAAGGAAAAATGAGGAATTAAGTTATAAAAGTATAATTAAATGTAAATGGAATGGTTATTAAGTAAATTAAGATAGAATTGATTATCTAATTAAGGATTGATTGATTAAATATTTGAATTAAAAATTCATAATTTAATTAATAATTGGTGATGGTGGGATTTAGTTAATCAATGGATTAGAATTATAGAAGAGATTGTATCATTAGCTCAATGATATGGAGTCATTGAATGAAGTTCTCCAAATGTCACAATTTTGAAGACAAATGTGGGCCTAAATGCCTTAATGCCATGATTTTGAAGACAATATGAACCTAAAAGCCATTATTTTAAAAACCATGTGGAGCCAAATGCCATGATTTTATGACCAATTTGGACCCAAATGTCACGATTTTAAAGATGATTTGGATCTAAAATCCATGATTTTAAAGACAACGAGGACCAAAATGTTACGATTTTTAACATAACATTTTTATTATGTTTTTAAAAACACATTGCTTAGAACAACTTGAACACATAGAAATAGAGGACATGTCACACAAAACAATCTAACCATGTAAAAGGCAGATCACCTAGATCAATTTAACCATGTAGAAATAAAGGATAGGCCGCCTAGAACAATTTGACCACATGACTAAAGGGTAGGTTGCCTAGAACAATTTAACAAATGCTTTCATTGTCTTGTATGGACAGGTCGCCTAGAATAACTTGACCAACGTTTTCTTTCTTTCTTCTTTTTCTTTCTTTCTTTCTTTCTTCTTCTTCTTCTTCTTCTTCTTCTTCTTCTTCTTTTTTTTTTTTTTTTTGGGAGAGATCACTCGAACAGTCTAACCAATATTTTATTTTATTTTTCTAATATCTTCAAATATTTTCTTTAAAAGCTTACTTTGCAAAGCCAATCGAAAGCTACTCTTTCATTGTCTTGCAATGAAAAGTATACATAAAAAAGAATCTTATATCATAAGCATCTTACCAAATTGAAAGAAATTTTTTTAAAAAAAAAGACTAATAAAAAGAAATCAGGGTAAGATTTAAAAAGAATTTTTTTTTTTTTTAAGAGAAGATTGAAATAATAGTAAGAAAATAGGAAAATGAAAAGAATAGAAAAATAACGAATAAGAAAAATTACAATAGCATAATTGGAACAAATTAGAAAGAATGGGGATCAAAGATGAAAATTTTAAGAGGTATAATTTAAAGAACTACAAAAGACTAAGAATCGAAAAAAAAAAAAAAGCTGAAATACAAGGATAAAAAAAAAGGTGAAACGGTGGGTTTTTTTTTTTTTTTTTTTTTTTTAAACAAAAACAAAAAGATATATAACCCAAGGAAACGCCGGTTTCTTAGGTTATTTCTTAGGTTAATTCCAACTGTCTTTTTCTTCTTCTTTTTTCTCCTCCTCCTACTTCTTTCCTTCTGTGTGCGTTGTTTTCTTCTCCTTTAGACAGCTTGGTACAATATATTTTCCTTCATTATTGGGATTGATTTTTGTCCGCAAACATAAGCCAACATGCATGCTCTAGATTATTAAATATATATATATATATATATATATTATTAAGAAGATAAAAAAGAATCTAAAAAAAATTATTGATATTTTTGTGATAAATTAATGGGAATTTATATTGGAGGATGATTTTCATCACACAGAATTCCTTTATATAAAAATTAAGAAAATACAATTTTTAACTATTTTTTATTTTTATTTTTTATGGTTTTTATTAGAAATGGACACTTGTCAATCATCTATATATTACTCAATATTGTTTAAAAAATCTATTTATCCATCTATCTATCTATATAAAACGAAAGAAAAATCTATTAGTTCCTGTAATCTTTGCTAGCTAGTGAAACACTGGATTGGTAATAAGCTAAATAAAGTAATTAATCTTGATAATGTGGTGTGATATAAAATCTAACGTACAAATTATCCACAATTATGTAAAGTAAAGAGACATAAATTAAATATATTTTCATCAAAAAAGCTTTGAATAAAAAATATGTAGACTATGTTTTTGTTTGTTTCAGTTCTATATATGAACGCAATATAAAATAATAATAATAATAATAAACAATTCAAATTATAAACAGGTTTGAAAAAATTCAAAAGTTGCGTGTAATTGCTAAGAGATTTGAGTAAATCGTGCGTGTGTGTGTATATATATAATCAAATTAAATTTACAAACAAACGGTGTAGACAACGCTAGTATAGAATGCAGTGTTCTAAGTTGCGTATAATTAAAGTCCTCTGCAGAAGAAGGGAGGTAGCCGTTCCAAACTATGTACCAAAGTCTCTAATTACAGAATTCAAAGCACCATTTTAAGATATGGATAGACCTCTGCAATGCGAGGGCCCGTTGACTAGCTGCATTTCTATACCAAAGACCTGAACAAATAACTGCAACTCTACCGCATTCTACTGACTCTTCCTTCTCTTATAATTGTAGGATTCATATATATATAACAAAAAATGCATTAGACAATTACAGAAATCACCTTGTAACTAATTGGCAGTTTCCAAACTTTAAATCACTCATAGTAGACAATACAAGCAACCATGATTCTGTGCACAATTTTAGTTTTTCACATTTAAAATGTACTTTTCCGGGATTGAAACACGTGTATACATCCAGTTTGCAAGCTATACAACTCTCGTCCAGTACATTTTACCAATCATCAGCTCCCTTTGTTGCACCAATAATAATTGCAATTGTAGCAAGAATAGCCTGCACATAGAATTCTTATAGTTTTAGCTGAGAACAGGCAAAAAGACCACCTTTTATTATTACCCGGGATAGCAATTAACAATGCACACCAACAGTGGGAAATTACACAAGAACAACACAATCTTATCTCCAGAGAGATCCATTTACCACAAATCTAAAAGTTTGAATGAAGTACACATACTGTAACTACACATGAAGCATCCGCAAGAATAAAATAATATAACAGCTTTACAGCCAGAACTCTATTATGAGTACGAGAAGTCATGGCTATACATATTGAAACAAATGGGAAACCTCTCCTCCATCAAACGCATAGAAGAAGAACGATGCTAAATTCAAAAGTAGATAAAATATCATCCAAGACAAAAGTAATGAATAGCCATGTCAAGAGGGATTCAACATGGAGGCTTATTGAACAACCAGCTTTCACATGAGATAACAAGCTAACATCGAATTCTGAGTAATAACTTTTTAGATTAAAAACAATATGCACCATGAATTAGAGCTTCACCTACCAAATGCTGAATTGATTAATAGGTCCTTGAAAATAATAAGATCCATTTAAAACTAGTCCTAGCTCTTTCATTATCAAAAAAATAAAAAGCTACCTTTGGGAGAAAGTACTGAACAAAGGACTGACAACATGCATAATAAAATTGTAATATGTTAAAATGATAAAGAAGGGATATTTTATTCAGTAAAACACTAGTATGGAGGTAATCTTACTCAAAATTGAAGGGTAGCTTTGTCTTTCATTGGTAATTATGAAAGGTATAAACAAGCATCAAATTGAGATTTTCCCCAAAGTGGTGTTCAATATTCTTTTAGCAGGCAACAAAACACCAGATAAAAAACCACAGCTATCATGAAAGATGACTGAGTAATGCTACTCAACACAAATAAGTTGCACAAACTCAGGTTCAAAAAAAAAAAAAAAAAAAAAACAACCATCAAATTGAGTGGGATCCACCAATCTGAAGGTCCCTATTTTAAATGGTTCTTTATATTTACAAGGATACTTTACATTTTTCATGTAAAACGGTTATCATAAAAGGACTTGAACCTTGAACACCCTACTAAAAATTAACAATAATAAAAAACAAGAAGAAGAAGAAAGAAATAAAAAAGGAGCACACTGACTTCAGGCAAAAAAAGGAAGACACAATAAATGTGGTATAAAACGGAGAATGCAATGAAAATAATTGATGCGTGACGTAAGAGAAAGAAACATCCATAAATGCATAGAGGTTTATAGGAAATAATTAGAGCTGGGTAACACAAAGCAGCATTCAGGCTTTACCACTTGTGTGAGGCAGCAGGAATTTTTGTTCTCAAATTAAGGTATCATTTCACCTTGTCCTTCCTCATTTGGTTAATGCCATCCAAGAGCCATTCTTGGATGACATTGAAACATTACACATCTACTGGATCAACTTATGCAAGCAATTCAGACACAGACATAATCCAGTAACAATTACTCATATCCAACAATGATTGTTACTGGATTGTGTATGTGTCTGAATTAATTGCATAAGTTGATCCAGTAGATGTGTAATGTTTCCATGTCATCCAAGAATGGCTCTTGAATGTGGCACTCATGCTTGACAAGATGTTTCCTTAACTACTATTTCCAAAGTTTTCTACAGAAACAGACCAGCATAATATTCCACAAAATATTTTGATAGGGAAAGATTACTTACTGCAATGGTGCAAGCAACATATCCAGGTTTCTCTCGGGGATCTATCCTAGCACAAGCTAGAATAAATAACCCAACATACCAGGGGATGCCACCCAGAAAGAAACCAATGATAAACCTTCAAAAAAATAAAAAAATAAAAAAATAAAGCTCCTCACAGTCAGTATATAAATAAATAACTGTCAGAATTATAATTTACAAGTGAAAGATCGGGACCACAGACTGATTAATATGATACCATTAAATGAACAAATGAGTAGCCTAGTATATAAGTCCAGTCACGTCAAGTAGAAAATCAGAGTTAATTGCTTTTATTTGAAATTCAAAGTGTTGTAAAAGTTATAAGAAACAAACAAATTGAAACCCCATAAAAAGATTAACAATAATGCAAGATTGTTAAAAATGCTCTTTTAACTAGGATTGGTGAGAGGTTCAGAAACTCAAGAGTCGTTAAAATCGTACGATTGTACAAACAACATAAAAAAGGTATAGTAGTTCCCTCTTTCCCTGATTGGAATATACTAGAGAAAAGATAGTTTCATCTTTCATATTGTTTAACTGCTATAAGATTGTGCTTACGATTTTATATATGCATGTAGAAAGTTCAAAATGGATATTTTTAATGTTTCCATTCAACTCTCCTTGAATTAGTATCCAAATCAATACCATGTAAATTATCCTAAACCAGATTTCCTAGACCTAGCTAGCTCCCAGCATAATAACCAGAGTCATTATGAAGTAACCATATGTGCAACTAAGAGGCATCAAAGATATTAGCAATAATTGCTTTTAAGTTCAAAATTTTCAGTCTTTAATTGTTAAGTTAAATAATAACTGTTGCACTTCTGCTATCTGTTACAAGCTAAGAGAATGGGCTTTTGAGTTCAAATTAATGCTACTCTCTAAATAAATCAAGGAAACCTGAGCTTTACTAGGCCGAGAGATCACAATGGAGCTTCCAAAAACCAAATCCATGTCAAACAATCATTAAAAACAAAGTAATTTTGAGACTTACATGATAACGTATGCACGATTAAATATATTAGATGGCTATTAAATCCGACCTAGAAAATTTTCAAATACATGATTAATTGAAACTAAGAGATTCTTCCACAATAATACATGAATTTTGCATCTCGGCATACCGTAACAATCTTCAAGATCTGAAGAGAGACTGAAGGGAGAGGGACAACGACACAAAAGAATTGCCTGAACGATATGATTTTAATATTTTATTGGGTTTTAATCAATAAGGCAGCCCAATTTGGAAAAAGAAAAAAAAGGCCCAAAATGGTTACCAGCTATGCACAATTCAAGACTGAGTTCACCAAAGTACGATTTTTGTGTGTTTCAGCACGTTCTCTCAATTTTGAGCTATAAACGTGTATGATTTTACGACCTGACACACAATTTTAACAATCTAGAACATATGAACCTATCCTAAAGGTAACTGCAAATATATATGTTCAAATTGACTCACTTATCCATTTAAACTTACTGTGATAACATAAATTGAGGTACTAAGGCATGCAAAATTATTCAGGCTCAAAAAATGGATAGGAATCGGATCAGTAGCATGCAAACGTGACTTTATTGAGCAATTATGCGCTCAACTTTGGGTTCGGCAAGCTAACACCAAATTCAATTCATTTAACCGATCATATTTTATGCCCAACAGTTATTTCATTCCTATTAAAATTCCAATTTACATCACAGTCAAACCTATACATTCTGTGGCAGTTATGTTCAAACTTCAGACCCAGTGGCACATAGCAAGTCTAAACATATAAAGACAATGTGGGAAAATAAATCTGAATAATTTCCATAGGCGACGAAAAACAAAGCTCATGTAAGAAAAAGAAAAAGAATTGAAGCAAATGTCATAGCGACTTATTAATAGCAAACTTACAAGCACCAGCCAATACCACAACCACAACAAGGTAGGCGATGTTGTCTCACAGGTCTTCCTTCAACAACAGCATAGCCTGAACAAGTATCACAAACAACAATAAAAGCAACAAACTTTAATTTATGAATAGAGAAAAAAAAATGAACATCTTACTTTAGAATCAAATAAAGTCCCGGACTTCCTTTTACTAAAATCTAAGCAAAAAACTAACTCAATCCTTGTAAACCCACTTCACAGTTACTCCTCTATTGATATAGAATAAGCTCTAACTTTCTAAATCTTTTTGTGTACTACATAGATCAAGAAATCCTCTTTCCAAAAGTGACAGACTTTTATATTGATTTTTGGTAAATTAGCGAAGAAACAGCATAAATTGAACATAACACTAGATGATCAATAAAAAATAAAAAATCAATAATAAATAAATTTGATTGATTGATTGTTGCACCTGGGACGGTTTGATAACCGCGGGCATAAGGTTCGGCGGTAACACCAGGAGGAGGGACAGGCTGAGGAAAGCCAATGACAGGCTGTTGAGAAGGCGGTGGATAATTGGCAACGCCTTGAAAGGTACCATATTGGGGTTGGGGTGGCGGTGGTGGTGGAGGATGGTCTTCATATTGGCGGTGGTGGTGGTGAGCTACAACAACTCCTCTGTTTTTTTCTTCGTCACTCATTTTTCTTGGTATTTCTTTTTTGTGGGAATTACTGTGAGAAACTTGGATTTTAGAAAGAGAGGAGTGATTCAATATCAATAATGTCGATGATTGTGGTCATTCTTAAGTCTTAAGGTAGAAGAAGAAAAATGTTATGTAGCTGGCATTGACTTGTTTCTGATAGGTGAACGAATTAGTCACTCTATTCCTAATAATCACGATAGTTGAGCTCCAAACTTTTTATTTTATTACTTGTATCTTAAATGTCGTAGTTGATATTAGACAATGCTATTTCATTAATACATCATTAATAAATAATAAATTTCGTATAATTTATTCATACTTATAAATATTATAATAAAAATAAAATCCAATTAGATTTTAAAAAATAATTTTAATATCAAATCATCGTAAATTACTTTTTTATATAAGTTAGTAAAAATGAGGTAAAAAAAAATTATTGGGATTTGGAGTTTATTTTGACAAACAAAGATGTACAAATCTTTTAATTATTATTAAAAGTGAATGAACGGAGGATACCATTGTCAAATATTATTTACGTATTTATTGATTATTATTATTTTTTTTATCAATTTTCAAACGTTGATTATATCAGGAAAAGAATTGATGAAATTAAAAAACTTTGGACTCAATTGATAAATGAGTAAACTTTAAGAGCTAAATTGAGGTCTGTCTTTAATTTTTTCAGTACGAATAACCCTAGTATCTTTACGTTGTGTGATGAGAGCAAAATAATCTCTTATCAAGGGAATTATATTGGCCAATTAGTCAAATCCTAATACAAATCCAAAGAGATAAAGCACACAACACACGGTCATTCACAAGTTTCTTTGGCACCACGTTCTTTATTGATGATGGATATATGTCTCTTTCAGCTCTTACCAACCGAATTATTACAGTTTTTTTTTGCCCCAACTAATAATGAATAATATTTGAAAGAAAATGAAAATATACAGACAGATCTCCTAATCCAATGCCAAACATATGTTCCAACTTGACTTAATTTTGGTGCTTTATTTTTCGATTTATGTCAGTACTATTCTGCACAACCAGAAAGTGAAAATGAAGGTCGACAGTGCAGTTCGGATTGACTTAATTTATGCTTACATTGAAACTCAGGCTCTTATAATATCATGTTTAGATAATTGGTTTTTTTAACATAATGATTGGTTATAGAATAATCTATGTATCTAATCCCTTTTTTTTTTTAAAAAAAAAAAAAAGGTAGACCATTTGTTTCAAAATTAGAAGATTCATTTTACAAAAACACGATTTCTTTAATCATCTAGCCAATCCTCTCTGATTATACTGATTAAATCATATGTCAAAAGAGAAAAATAACAGATATTTGAATAAAAAGAAAAAACAAAAGAGTTTTCTCCTCAATGTCATCAATAATTTAACAGGGCAGATTTGAAACAACTCATCAAAAATCCACATTGAATGCTTGAGGCCAGGCAGACCACATGATGGACCAGAAAGCTAACATAATTAAGGTCCCCTTTGGGACACTAACATGAATGAAGATGCCAGTATGATTTTGTCCCCTCAAAATGCAGAAAATACTGTTGAGACTGGTGTGTGTGAATTGAGTCTATTTATCAGTATACAGTTTCTCAGGCTTAGCCACAGCTTACAATCATTACTTGAAATACTGATCAAGCAGCATTTCTTGTTCATTGTTTTTTCCTTCGTTGTTTCAATTTTACAGCCATTTGTTACATTTCTTCTGACATCAGGTAACAGGTTATGATGCCGGAAGTAATTCAACCCCCTGCTGCTTTACATCAATAGCATGTGAGACCCCTGCCTGAATCATCCCAGGAAAGGTCCATCAGGCTTTAGGACTCATATCTTGCAAGCCACAAACCATATTTGCAGGGACTGCAAGGTCCATCATCTTAGGATATGCCAGGTTTAGATCTGTATTTTAATTATTATACAAGTTAGTGTTCTAATTAAAAGGTCCAGATTACTGTAAACAGCAACAGTACTTACTCTCCATGATTCCTTTGAATGCTACCTGCAAATTACCAAACGCAGTATCAGTCCTCAGCAGTCCTGTTCTGCTCAATATGTGTGTGTGTGTGTCTGGTAGAAAAAAATTTACTTATTACAACGATCAGCTCTGCCGGTGTGAAAAGAAACTGAAATCTTGGAGAAAGAAGGTAAGGGTGTATTGGTATCAACATTATTATAATCATGGGTTCTACGCTGATGGTGAGGGCAATTGGATGTTAAGCATATTTTCAAACATCTGGGATAGCCAACACTTCTTTTCCCACTGGCTTCTAGTTTAATGAAAGCCCTGGTAGTTTCCTCCCCCTTCATATATGGTTCTATGAACAGCACACAACTTTCTGTCAATTCAATTCTGCAGCAAGCATAATGCTAGTGTGAAATTCCTAAGTCATTTCTTAACTGTAATTTTACTCTGCCTCCAAGAGAGTGAATGAGAATGGATCGTCAGCCATTTAATCAATCAACATTTTCTGCATCAGAATAAGAAGAAGGGTACAAAGGAATCACCTCATCCTTCGTCAGGCGAGGATTATATAGCATTTCTTCTTCCACAGTGCTTACCTGAAACCAACAGGTTTTTGCTGAAGCACCTATTTAAACATTCAACATACAAGAGGTGCTTAACAATTGGTTTCCTAGTAGAAGAGGTCTAAACTTTATCCTTACCGAAAACCCTTTGTAGTCATGAGCTGGATATATTAATGTCTCCTTCGGCAACGTAAAAATCTGGTCACAACATGAAAATTAGTGATGTTGAGGACAAAAAAAAGGTGGCTACGAAAGAAAGGCATAAGGTAGATGCGCTTTTTCATTTCTACTAATTCCATCTATTTCTTTTTCACCAGATAAGCATAATAAATCTCAAATACTTGCCTGTGAATGCACTGACTTATAAAGCTGCTCTGAACTGCCGCCCAGTGACAAAAACACAGTAATTAAACCTTGCTGCATAAATATTCTTCCTCAGATGCATATTTTACCATAACAAAGATCAATACACGAAAATTTAACATAGGAAGATGAATAGGAAACTCTAATAACCATAACATGGAGGGAAAAAAAAAAAAAGCAGGAGATTCATTCAACTGAGGTTAAAAGACACAGTAGGGTCGTTCGTATCACTAGATGAAACGGAATACTAATTCAGTCCAACTCCAGTGAATTGTCCAAATGACATATTAGAAATAAGCACTTTGACAGAATTTTAATTCAAACAAAATGAAGATATAAACGGTGAATAAAATCCTTACATTATGAATTTTCAGTGTCCAGATAATAGAACATTTAGAACATATGAGGAACTGATTTCTTCTGTTTCACTGGATCTGCAGAACACTTATCAAGATTGAGGATACTATACCTGAAAATCTGTCCTTCCACATCCACGTATCAATAAAGCATCACCAGTGAATGCCATCCGAGGTTGAGGCTGATCAGGTCCATCTGCTGTAACATAGGTAACACAACCCAATGTATGTCCAGGCGTGGCACGAACCTGGAATCATTAATAGATCATCATGCAGAATGCTAGATAGTATGAGAAAAAGAATGTGATATATCTAATTTCTAATATTTCGGTTTCTGTTTGAAGAAGCTTAAAAGATCAAAGAATTTGCTACAAAGACCCAGTACTATGTTTGATACTGTTCTAGACATTGTCATCCTTGCTCGTAGTGCATAAGAAAATGCCACATAAGCTAGTTAAACATCCTCAGCGATAATTACCAAAACCAAACTTCCAACGTATATTGAACTTATGTTGTCTTTAGACCACTAAGTTAAGTTTTGTTTGAAACTGCAATTTCAACATAGAAATGTTGTCTCAGTGACAGAATGGTAAGTTACACAAGCAAAAACTTTTAACTGTTGTCTTTTAAGAAACTTGAATTAAATGCAAAGATTTGAAATTTACCAAGTAGTTGAACTTCTTTATTGACTTGATTAGTTTAAGAATTCCTGATCTGAAATCCTAACTAATTCCAGGGTCTAATGTGATTCTATTCCTCGTACACTAGTTCTCCCTCAACAATGTTTCAGGTAAAGAGAGGGACTAAGGTTGTCAGTAAATTTGTAGATTTTTAAATTGTTGAAAGGAAAGAAATTTGTAGATCCATGGGGTATGGGATCTCATACACCTCGGATATATATATATACACATATAGATATTGCTCTGCTAATGTACATGAGTGCATTCTTTTAGATATAGTTCACTATCAGAACATTCATTGATCCTAAGAAAGAGCAAATTCAATGAGATAAGCATCTTCATGCCTACCTCAAGAAAAAGATCTCCAAAAGATATTTTATCACCAGGTTCAACCACAAGATCAGCTTTGGAACCACTTGCTTTTGAAATAATAGATTTCACACCTGGAGACTTAGTCTGCAAGAAAGAGTAGCATTACAAAGAGTAATTCAGTTTAAAACACTACTACTACAAGGTACGTAGTAGGGAAGACATGCATATTGAACATTCGGAGGCAACAATTGATATGTGGAAAACCTTAATGAGGCCTGTTCCAGTGACATGATCAGCATGAACATGGGTGTTCAGGGCATAGATAAGCTTCAATCCTAGTTCTTTAACAAGAGACAGGTCTCTATCAGCAGTTTTGTCTACAGGGTCAATCAACTGCAAGTGAAAAAAACCATTACATTTCTCCATCATACGTATGTACACCTAGTAAATGCTTCAAAACTAGGAACGACCATTGATTTTTTTCAATCGTCTTTTTACTTCTAAATGCAATATCTACGATTGAAATTGGAAGTTTGACCATGTATATCAGGAGAAAAGGAGGTAAAATGAAGATTTGCAGATGACATGATCTTATACTCACTGATCAATCATGACACGTTTCAAGCACAAACCAATCAATTAATGCCATTGATCAAGAAATCATGACCATAAAAGTTTGTCCTCAAATATTCTAACTAATTCACATATTACGTACAAAACAAAAACGAAGTCAATTAACGTTAAAGAACTCACAAGCGCGGGTTTGTCAGGGTGTGAAACATCAGCCAGAAGGTAAGTGTACGTAGAAGAGTCCTTTTCAAAGAGCTGGCGGAACAACAGCTTCGATGACTGAGAAGACGCTGTGTTAGAACCCATTGCTTGTGATCTGATCTTTGTAACCAGAAAAAGAGGTTGGGTTTTTGTAGAAAGATTTAAAACTTTATTTGGTGATGAAAACAAAGAAGCTGTTATGAATCGAAGTGGCATTTGTTTATTGTTGTTTTGTAGAATGTGGTGCAGGTTGAGATCAAGCAAACAATAAAAGATTTGACATTTTCTTCAGGATATTCTTTTATATGTATTGGATTAGTTGTCATTTGAATTATTGTATTGTTCTTTAATTTTATATATATATATATATATATATATATATATTTGAGTATTGAAGATCTCGTCATTGGCGGGTGGTTCATGGCCATGGTCAGTTGCACCTTGTTTCTCTCGCGGCCTTTTTTCCCCCTTATGGATTTTCATGTTAGGTTGCTTTTGGTATAAGGTTCAAAAAAGGGGAGTTAATGATTACTGAATAATTATTATAAGAATAATTTTTAAGGGTATAAAAAATAGTTTTTAAAGACATTGATCTGTTAATAAATTGAAACGGTAAATGTTATTGAAAATTGAAATAAAATAATCAAATGGTTAGCAATTAATGATTTATGAGATATGAAAAAAAAAATTATTTGATGTTTATTTTGAGATAAAAGAAAGGAGAGAGGAAAAAGAAATTGCTTGCAGGCTAAATTTTACTTTCTATGCCTTTCAAAACACCAACCCAAGAGACGCTAAGTAAACGTAGCCTCTCCTAAATATATCCTTAAAGTTAAATTTTGATTGAGAAAGAGGGGAGCACCTTTCAAGTGCATGTGTTGACAACAAATAATCATTATGCTAATGGATTGATTTGTTAATTAGAGACTTAGTAAACGGATCAATGGTTTAACCACCAAAATTTTTAAAATACACCAAATTCATAAAAAAATAAAAAATAAAAAGAAGATTTCCACCTAAACTCAAATTTTATTTTTCAATTTTTTTCTCATATTTTTGTCTCTTCTTTTTCTTCTGCGTATCTATCTCTTTATAGAGTAAATATTAGTACTCTTTAAGTATCTTAAAAATTTTCAGTTGACCACTACATCATTGGTTAAATGCTACACCAATATATACATATAATTTGTAATCTTAAGTTTTTGTTTACAGCGAGGATGGATGGGAGAGAGTGGAAGGATGGAGGGGGAGAAAGGGTGGATTATCACCAATCTTTTTCAAGTTGTTTGGTTAACAAGAAAAAAAAAGAATGATAGATACAAACTTTCCTTGTTTAGCTAGGAAAGAGATAACAATTTATGGTGAAATATTTAACTTGACGATATTTTTTTCTATGAAAGAAAAAGGATATTGAAAATTTGAGAGCCAAAATCCAAAGCATGATTTTCTGGTATTAAGTATATTTTTATAACCATGCATTTATAAGATATTACGGAGAAAATAAGCTGGTACCTCAAATTAAATTTCTTGGACTGGCGGGAAGCATATCTGATTAGGTTACATTGCATCCCCTCAGTTGTCGCTCTATAAAGCACATTTAGCTTCGACTATCTGTTTCATTTTTCTTTTAAAAACACCACTAACAGACACTACTTTACTTGACCTACATAATATACAGTTAAGAAGAATGAAGTCCATCAAAGCTTGTCTTGCTTCCTGCAGGTTCAAGACATTTGTTTATTTATTTTAATTTGTAGAAAGGTGTAAATAAAATGTCCATCATTTTTTTTCTTTTTTGGTTTTGGTTTGATAGCAAAAATATTTTTGGGCTGATTGGAACGTCAATGAAGACTAATTTATGTTAATATCTAATTATACATACTTGTATAATTATATGGACATAATCATGTCATTCGGTCAAGTTTTTCTATTCAAATTAACAAAATTTTATTTTTCATTTTAAAATTTTCCTTCAGCTATACAAGCATATAATTTTAATTTTTCAAAAAAAAAAAAAAAAAAGAATCTTTATTTTAAAAAAAATAATATTTATTAATTTTAAAATTTCTTAAAATATTTTGAGCAATTTTGAGAAAATTTTATATTATATTCTTATATAACTAAAGGACAACTTTAAAATGATATATATATATATATATATATATATATATTTAGATGGAAAAACCTATTGAAGGATATATTGAAGAATTGGATATCATAGAAAAATATAATAGACACAATTAGAAATATAAAAACGTATTAGAGACTTTTTTTCCTACATTTCACTATAGGATATTTCAAAAATAAATTTTAATCATTTGACTTGCATGTGAGCTTCGACCAAAAAAAAGTGGTTAGAAAGACTAATTAGACAATTAGATAGTATTCAATAACATATTAGATCCAATTAAAAATGTAGAGATAGATTGGAGACTTGGTCCGTTATATAAAATTTATTAAGACATTCATCCTAAATTATTTAACTTAACTATTGAGGCATTCAAGTGAAGTATGTTCATAAAAAAAAAAAAAAATGGAGGATAACACCTATGGATATATAAGAAATATATTGAATAAATTATCTTTAATGAATAAATCACTCATGTCCGTGAATATGGAATTCGGAGGTCAACTAAAAAATGAAACTCTAAATCATAAAACTATAAAGAAATATATATATAAACAACCAACAGTTATCAAAATTAAAACGAAACTAGAAAAAATGACTCGATCATCTTATTTTTCTTTCTCGAATTAAGAGATCCATGAATTGGGATCCTAATTTATATAGATGCAAATGATCTAAATGATGATTCGTGCTATATTTCTTGAAAATAATCTAATGACAATAATGAATCCCTCGTAACATATCCTCTTGCTACGGATGACGTAAGCCCAAGCCTTAGTTTACTCTCTAGCAACATTGTCATAACCCCATCCGTTATGAACATCTTTCCATTTGCTTAATTAAAATTAATTGCACGAACCATACCTATATATATATATATATATATATATATATGGGAGACATGACCAATCAATTCCCATCATTTCGTATCTATATTTTAATATTTGACAATTTAATTTTTATCATATAATAACTTTTTTATTTCAAATGCCGATTTATATATATTTCAAAACAAGAGAAAGGTTCTTCCTCCGAAAAACCCTTTTCTCGAGAATTCACCGATTCCTTCAAAATGGTTTCCCGAGAATCTACCGGTTCCTTCAAAACGATTTCTCAAAACACTCGTATCATTGTTTCAAAACTCACTTTCAAAAAATCTAAATCCGAGTATTTTTTGAAAAAAGATTTTCAAAAAATTATTACTCGTCGAAGATGGGTATTACTACGGTGATCCCTTCATCATTGCTCTTTTGGTTTATCATCAAGAGAATTTAAGAGCTTGTCTAAGTACTTTTTTGAAGTTGGGGATCCTCAATACATTTTATAATATCAAGAATGAGATCTTGATCTTTAGTCAAAACATTGACTAGTTTTGGGCTAGTCTCGGGTTCGAATCCGAACTAGAGTTTGAGCTAGAAGAGGTAACTAGTTCATCTACCCGTAAGGCTTCTTCACTATTGGAATAGTCCGAAAGGTCGGATGACTCAATTAACAAAGCGTAGATTTTATTGAAAATCTCTTCTTCTAGTTAGAGTTCTTGTAGTCCGGTATACATTCTACAATATTTTGAAATGTAGCCTTTTTGATCTCATTTGTAACAGTAAATTCTCTTTGGTTAGTTCCGGGCCTTGGCCTAAACTGGATTTTCCTAAAGGGTTTTTTGGGGTTTTATTGGAAGGCTTCTTATAGAAAGGTTCTATATTTTTGGGCTTTCTCTTATGGTAAGGCTTTCTATAAGACTTCTTTTGGGTTTTTTCGTTGCAGCTTACCTTTACAACTCCGAAGGTTTTGAAGTGAAAATATCAAACCGTTTACAGTAACTACCAAGTTCCTGTCTGGTTTTCTTCATTTCCCACTTAAGGTGTTTTTGGAGTTTTAAGTCTTGGCAAATCTTAAAACCTTCTTTCCGGGTTAAACCGATCAATTCATCATAAGTCAATTGGTCATAAGGGATTTAGTCACCAAAAGCATCCTTAATATGAGTACTAACCTTTTCTCCTAGAAGGGTAGGGAGACCTACAAGGAATTTCTCCTTCCGTAAAGGTTGGTTAGAGTCTTCTCTAAGCATGACTCTAGTAAGGAAAGTGGTTTTGTAATACCGAAAGTCACCGAGTTTTTTGCACCTAAGGTTACTTAGAAGCTTAGCATTTTTGTCTTTGAGGTGAAAAGGATCTCCTATGAAATGAAGGGAAATAGTTAAGATGAGTGTTAACACCGCATCTTGAATAGGTTCACCTAAGTCATCTAAAATAGGAAGACCTTCTTGATCCGTTTAGATGGAATTCAGGATTTCTAAATGTTATTGGGCGGTGAGATGATAGTCCCACCATCCTTTCAATTGTCCTGAAAAATCAACAATAAGCAATTCAGCTATCGCACGGTTTGGGGTTCTAGTTTGGGTTTTGTAGACGTTAGTCGCCATGGTCATTTGTTGAAGTAAACTTAGGATATTGTATTCTAACATTCCATCTATGTTCCATTCATAGACGAGAGGAGGCATTGAATCTAGGTTAGGCAAGTTTGTTTGGCATTTCTCCTATATCGTGGGCGGTGATTATGGGTAAGGAATTTTTTCAATAAAGTTTGTTCACTTCGGGGAGAGGTTCCCGATCCGAGTTTTGATCTAGTACATTGACACTATGGGAATTTGGTGGTGTGTCGAGTTACTACTTGCCTAGAGGTTCCTATACTAGAAGATATTTCTATCTTGCTATATATATATATATATGGATTTTATTTTTGAAAAAGAAAGATATGGAACTTTCACTATAGAATAATGAGATTTAGCGATGGTCTAGGCCTTCCTAAATCATGAAAAATCATCACCAAATTTAATTTGTGATGGTTTCAAACCATCCGCAAAATGCTTGTGCTAATTTATTAGTCCATAGCTAATTAAGCAATAAAAAAACTATTGCTAATTTAATTAAAACCGTAAAAAAAAAAATTTGGGATTGTTTTAGTTTTTTATTGCTAA